ACATGGCTCTAACCGCAGTGTGATACATGGCTCTAACCACAGTGTGATACATGGCTCTAACCACAGCGTGATACATGGCTCTAACTACAGTGCGATACATGGCTTCGCTATATACCCTACATGGGGTGTTTATCGCAATAGTGTACAACATGCGAATGTTTCTCCGGCCAGAGAAACTAGAAACGTCCGACATTTAAAGCCTCAAATAAAAGCACATCATTACAGTACCTTCTGGCCATCAGCAACAAACTGCTTGTCGTACACCAATAGCTCGATTAAATTGTCTGCCAGATTGATGATTGTCGGCTCTTGGATGACCGTGGGCTTGATCTGCGAGTGAAGTAGGCACGAAACGCAAGTCAAAAACCGGCTTAAAATGTGCCGAAGGACGAATCTAACAAGCTGAACGGGAAATATGCTATATATAATATTCGAGACACCTATATATACACCATTGACTGGTACAAATAAAGTCGCCAATGCCATAGATCGTGCATCCAAGCAGGCAAGCAAAGCTTATGCTTTGCTTGCAATCAGTCTCGAAGACAGCATGGAGTGCCACACGCGCAAATTTTGCAGAGCAACAAACACTGGCGTAAGATCACCCCAAATAAAAATCTAGAAGTCTTTCCACATGCGCACCAATGCCCAGGGTGGACCTTGATTCTTAACTGCACAGGCTTTGGGAACATTTAAAACCTCCGCTTCGTTCGAAACACCTTTCTCGCTATCGTACAAGCCCGGTACAATCCGGTACACATACCCTTTTGCCGTTTCCCACTGCATTCGATTTCTTGCCCACACGTCCCAATGATATGCCTGGCGTGAGCGATCGGGCGGTCGCGGGTTTGGCGGTGCGCGATGTGGCTCGAGGTATCTGTTTCTTTCTCACCTTCTCTAGGCGTGCCTCTTTCAGCTTCGCACGTGCCTAATAATGTTATTCCATATAATGCGACTTTAGCGAGTCTTACTTTCACGTATGATATGTTTTGAGTTTGTAGACGGCCAAATCGCTTAGTAAATTGCACAGAGAACTTTAGTGAGCTCTTGATGTCCGACGTTGTGACGTGCAGTGACATTTTGAACTGGGAACGCGGGAACGAACATGATCATTTACATAGTAATTACACATATAACATATGCGATCACACATGCGCACAGGACATTGAAAAAAAATGAAAGCGAGCAGTTTGCATGTTCAATCCGAATTCAGTGAGACCGAATAGGAATGCATTCAGCCACCGTGGTGTGTGCCGTGATGTGTGTGAAAGGTGCTCTACTTCAACATCTCTGCAATTAAGCAAAGAGTGCCAAAACCCAGTCCCAAATCAGGTTTTTGAATATATGGTTTGCACTAAGTGCACATACTTGGTCTTTGAGCGCTTTCTGAATGGCCATATTGTCTGGCGTCGGCAGCACAAGCCTGTCATCACTTACCCATTCATCCCAACTGAAAAAGAACAGGACACACCCGGGACCAAATAAAGGAGTCAGCAATGCGAGGCAGAAAGAGTTGGACGCATATTGTACAATCCGAAAGGATCCGAGGAATTAATCTGGCTGAGTGCAGAACTCTAATGATATTTCTATATTTGAAAATTGCGGCAAATGATAAAACATCTTGCGGTATACATTGCAAATCCATGATGATATATCAGATATGATTGTCCGAACTTGTAAGTACTGGCCTGCTAGCCTTGTACACATTCTTATAAAAACATATTCTACATAAGTACAGGAGAAAGTCACAATATAATTGAAATACGGCTGTATGATAAAACGTCAACGAGATGATCACACTTTTTGAACTAGAAAGATTGGGTTGATGTGCTCAACAAAAACACTACAGGACAAACTCATGTATTGTCGCGTATATTATATCGTCTCGGAGGCATACAACTTACATTGGTTTCCACCCAGCATAATGGACAAAGTACTCTGGTAATCCAGAATCTAGGATTCTAACCTGCTTCACCTATAGTGATCCAATCAGAAGAAACAAGTCAATGATATGTATTTGTGATACAATTAATATACAGTATTATACGTACCAAAGTACATCATGTTAAAGAACTTGTGAAGAAAAGCCATTAAACAAGGAGATATACATCTCAAGAAAGGACATGAAAACAATAATACCAGTAAACAAATATCACACACACACACAAACACACACATATATATATATATATATAGACACAGACACAGACATGTATATATATATATATATATATGTATATAAATATTGATATAAATTAATAAACAAATAAATAAATAAATAAATAAATAAATACATATATGTATATATATATATATAAATGTACGCACACACACGTATATATATATATACATAATATCAATATGTATATGAATAAATTTCTATATAAACATAAATAAAT